GGACTCCGTTATGCGAGCATGAAGCTGTATTCAAAAAAGAATGCCTAATATGGTCACCCCATCCAACATATCCTAAAATTCGAAGATTTATGCCTAATCTCTTATAATGGCCTTCAAATCTTTAGTACACCAAATGCCTTTTGATCGAAATTTGAGCGAAATCTGTTTTTCTAATCTTTTTATTTATAATAAATGGTCCTATTTACTTAGGTGCAAATTTGGCCGTGATATTTTTAACGCCAGACAGAACATAATTTTTACCACACTGAATTCCACACGTTTACCTAAATTCGCCGTCTCCAATCGCTTTTGGACGTCCTCAAAACTTGCTCGAACTAAGAGGCGGAGAATAAAGGGATGTGGCTTGACTCCAAGTTAAAAAACCCAAACTAGTTGTAAACGAAAATTTAGATAGTGACATTTTAGTTGACAATTTAGATTCCAATTTGCGTGAAGTGGATAAAATAAATACGGTTAAAGAATTACAACGCAAATTGAATGAAGCGTTAAGTGTAAAGAATATGAAAAAAAAATTGAATCAGAAGAGTGTCACCAATTTATAAAAAATATTTAATAAAGATCAGTTACCATTTTTTGGAAGCGAATTGTAGAGGATCAACTTGGTCAGCAGCTACAATTACGAAAGCTCTAAAGCTATACCTGGCTTGTGGGACCAAGAGATATGAATCAATTCGTAGGCAACATCTTCCATATCTAAGTCCACGCACGTTACAAAATCGAATCAGGAATTTAAAATTTAGACCAGGGATTCTCGATGAAGTTTTCAGTTTGTTAAAAGTAAAAGTTAGGATCATTCAAGTTGGAGGCAATAGAGTATTTATTTTCTATAAATTATCTCTTTAATCAATAACACGAATAATTTTTTATTATTAGATGGATACTTTTGAACCGCAGGAGCAACATGCTAGTCTAATTTTTGATGAAATGGCGATTAAACCTGGTCTGCAGTTTGACAATACGCTTTCAACGGTAGTGGGTAGGCCAACGATGAAATTATCAAATGGCAAAGATATCTCAAACGAATTTACTACACATGCGTTGGTGTATATGTTAGCTGGTGTCTCAACAAGGTGCTGAAAGTAAAGTTAGATTTATTTATTAATTAATCCAATTAAGTAATTTTAGGTGGAAGCAAATAGTGACATATGATTTCACAGGCAATTCTTTTAGTACCCAAGAATTATTTGATAAACGATCTCAAATAATTAAGAAACCCTACGAGATAGGAATCCATATTAAGGTAGTGGTATCAGATATGGGACCACAAAATCGTAGCTTATGGATAATGCTTAAGATTGTAGCAGGAAAATACAGCAAAATACAGAACAGAATCCAACATCCGTGTGCTGCTGATAAAAAAATCTATTTTTCGTGCCCGATCCTGTTCACGTTTTTAAAAATCTTGCGGCTGCGTTCACAAAAGGTCAAACAATAGTGGATACATATGGTTTGCCAACACACGAAGTTTCTATTATGCCAATAAGGCAACTGCATGAAATCGACAACAGAGACATAATTAAAATGTGTCCACAATTAAAACACAATGTACTCTATCCATAACATTTTGATGTATAAAATGAATGTATCTCTTAGCGTCTTAGCGTCATTATTTAGAAGAAGAAAACATTAAACATCTGCTAGGTCGTTTTTCGCAAGATGCCTTAGAAAATAGTTTTTCATCAATAAGATGTCGGCAACCTGTTCCTGGCGCTCGTATATTCAAAATATCTCTACGGTTATTGTGCCTGTGGCAATTTGAAGGTGATATAAAACGAGGAAGTTATTCTGAAGATGATGCTACATATTTAGTAAAATATTGCGATGAAATCAATAATGCAGAAAAAAGTGAAATGGATGAACCTGAGCCGAAAGTAATTGATGGTTTACTACAAGATTTTTCAACTGCAGATTTCAGATCACAGGAGGGCAGTTTATACCACTTACTTGGTGCAGTTATTCACAAAATTAAAAATAATTATGCTGTTTGTGATACGTGTTATGAAAGTGTGAAGACTAACGCAAATGATACAACAGTTCCAAATTCTCTTTCGTAAATATGAAGATGCAATAATAGCAAATACAATAACATTTGATGATTTTATAAATTTAATTCGATGCTCCTGCTAATATTCCTACATGTCATAATCTGATTCATAAAATAACTAAATTGTTTATAAAAAGTAGATTATATTTTCTTTTAAAAGATAAATCTAAAATTGCAACTTGTAACTACACAAAGAGTAGCTGCAGTCTTGGAATGCGGACTACTTTAAAAAAATAAAAATTTGGTGCTTTTCTCTAAAATTGTATCCAGAAGTTCCAAACATGCCCAGTGCTGAAGTTATTGTTATAGTCATTGTCTTTTGTCCTTTGAGCAAGATTTAAAGGGATTCTTTCATGGAATCTGTAACGAATCACACCACTTGAATTGGTGGTAACGTAAGTAAAAACGCCAATCTGAAATACACCACAACATTCAACCCTGAGCATAATTCTGTAATGCAACAGTCTTAAATTACACAAGGGAAATGTACCAAGGCAGTAACATAAGTGCGTCTAGACGACTCGTCCTTGCGGGAGGCGGGACTCCCGAATAATGTAGACGTGAGGGCAAGTCACAAGACAAACCATGCACGCAGCACAAGTCATTAACTCGAGAGGATACATCAAATGTCGTTACATCAAAGGGACTTGCGGCAAATTGCGGAAGGCATGTGGATGCTTATTTTTCAGTTGATTCTTCCGGGTGAACGTTACGACGCGACATTTTACGACGTTCAGATGGATGTTGTCACCACACCATTTGTGGATTAATTGTAGTTGACTTTGTAAGAGCTTGCAGTCGATTCAATAGGTGCGAATACCTTACGGTCGTCTGCATACATAAGCTTGTGGGCTGTAATAGCTTCTAGTAGGTCATTGACGAAATTTAAATAACAGCGGCCTAAGATTAGAGCCCTGTGGTACTCCGGAAGTAGCCATGAAGCTATCCGACGTATGTCAGTTATAAGTGATATACTGCAGACGGTTCGAAAGATAAGAATACAGCAGGCTTAGGAGAGGGTCGCTCAATCCGAGAACATTTAGTTTCCTAGTAGGCGATGATCCACTCGATCAAAAGCCTTCTAGAAGTCCGTGTATATACTATCGATCTGCCCACGAGCATCTAGAATAGGTGCGACGACGTTCATAAATGAAGCTAAGTTGGATACCGTGGAGCGTTTTCTTACAAATCCATGCTGATGTGGTGAGATTCTTGTGGCTATGGCAGGATATAAGCGTGCATATAAAGTCATTTCGAAAACCTTGGCAAAGTTGCACAAAATGGAAATCGGGCGATAATTTTTTACATCGTCTGGAACGCCGTTTTTTAATATTGGACAAATCTTGGAGTTTTTCCAAATAGGAAAAGTGCATGTTTTTAGGATTAGGTTAAAAATTGTCAGTAGTGGGATAGAAAAAATTATTGCACAGTCTTTAAGTAGAAAGCTGGGACCAGAGGTGTGGGAATTTTTTAATGTTATTTTTCAATTTCATTTAAGGTGAATTAATTTATATTATACAAATTGGGTGACAGTGGAAATTGCGAGATTTTTCTCCGTTATGTTTACTTTTCACTTTTTATTAATACAATTTGACCCTAAGATTTAAGGTTTGAAAATCACCATACGATTAGAAAATGTAAAATGGATATACGTATGGTTGAAGGATACAAGATAAAATAGACCCTATACACTCTCACACCTAGTTTAATGTTTTAATCCTGCCATTGACAAGAAAATCCTCATTTCACATAGTAGAATGTATCTCGCGCACAAACACTTTTACGCTTGAAGGAAATTTGTAATTTACTGTAAGTAGAAGTGTTTTTCGTTGTTATAGCAGAATTATGCGAGAACTTTGAAAATGAAACGCCAACAAACAGCACTTTAAGATGAAAATGCTTTTACTTGTTTGCAGAATATTAATATTTTTAACTGGGGTTTTACTGCCAATGCGGAAAATCCGCGATACTTGAAACTATGCGCGATATTATTCTCTTCAAAAGGTGTTTACTTTCCCATTTAAATTAAGTGCAAACAAGTCCATCAGAACTAAAAAGTACATAAGAAGTAAAGTTTCCCGTAACTTAATTAATTGCGTCGCTTTATTTTCAAAATTCTTGTGCATGAAACAGAATATGAGAGACCTGAATTGAATATGAAATAGAATCCGTCTCTGAAAAGGCTATCTTCATTTTATTTCTATAAGATACGTGATCCTACATTGAGCGTCATTCTGTGAACAAAATGAAAGAGTAGACGTACATTAAAAATGATATATACTCCATCGTGACCTAAATGAGTAGGAGTTCTTTAGATATGTTTCATAATCTTGTCGGCGATATTTTTATTACACCCATGCGCGAATATTACTTCAGACAACCCCATTCCACGTTTCATTTTTACGTCGATTGCAATCAAATTATCACGGACATATTGCATATGGCGTGGCGCCTCAATAGTTTCTAACATACTGTAGCTCTCGAGAAAACGAAGACGATACCGTTATGTAAAAGTATTAGTCTATTAGCAAGAGGGTGTTTTTACATTTTCCATGGCCTGCTTAGTTTTTAAGATACAGCACCAAAGTTTGATTTTTCAAATGGAACGTATAATATTTTCTGAAATATCGTCGGCTTAATCAGAAAAACCCGTAAGTCCATATTTTTGGGAAATTAAGATTTTCGTGCCATCTATTTTACATTAGGTACCTTTGATTAGGTAATACACCGTATCTCCAGAACATTTGTAGACTTAGTTATTCGTGAAATTACTTTTCCCGTAAGTCCAAGCTTGTACAATAGCAAAATGTAAACCCCGTATGTCCACAGGTTTCCCGCCAATTAGTATGCATTCACGTGCTTGTCATGCTGCACGACATTTCTCCTCCTCTAAGTGACGGTTTTGTTTAGTTTGTGTGTTCAATACTAACCTAATATGGCAGGTAAGTTCTTATATTTTTGACAGATATTATTTACGGATAAAAAACCACTGATTATTATCAATGTTTCATTATTTTATTCTGATTAAGGAGTTACGGCTTTTTCTAAATTGTCAGTTTACACGTACATAACCAAATTTAATGGAGTTACGTATTTTTCTGCTCTCTATATTTCTATGAAATTATTAGCAACAATTTAAGAATTTGTAGCCTATCTTCACAAAATGATGTCAGTAGGTAACTGTTAATTTTCCATGGTTTCTTTTTTCAGAAAATAAACTGACTTCTATATCAAAAAGAACAGGAAAAATTATGCTCATGCTAAATATTCCCGAAGTTACGGATGGTATTTATCAAGAAAAGGACAACGCTATTTGTGATACAGAAAATAGAACTAATAGCAATGAAGTAGTGTTATGCACCTTGTCAAATGTAGAGTACGTTCCAGATGTAATAGAAGGCGATTCCGATATTGACTTTAGAACGACCACAGATGAAGCACTGAATGATGGTAAGTACCTACTTCAGGCCAGGAAAGAATTTTAATTTGACCAAAGCTTTTGTAGAACATGCACCAGCTAATTTAATACAAAGAAAAAGAAAAGTAACAGTAACAGACGACAATAGTGATGAAGACCCCGATTTTGAGATTGGAAATGAAACAAAAACAGTAACAGACGACAATAGTGACAAACACCTCCATTTTGAGAATGGAAATGAAACAACAGAAAACACGGTCAATGTAAACATTAAGAGGAAGAGGAATAAAAGGCAAAATGTTTGTGAAAAGAAATGGACCAATAACCAAAAGAAAATTAAACGTGAGCAAGGAAAAGAATATTTTGGAAGAAAGAAAATTGATGGGAAATGGAAATATGAAGTAAAAAAGGAAGCTAGAAAAATGAAGGACCCTTGCAACTGCAAACTTTCTATTAAGGGCATATTGCTTAAGTGTCGAACTGTGTCTGAAGAGGAAAGAAATGCTATATTCCAAAAGTTTTGGAATACGAGGGGTTGGAAAGAAAGAAGGGTTTATGTGTGTTCTTTGATTGATTCCAAACCCACCCAAAGAAATAGACATAGAGTGAACGAGGAAACTTCCAGAAGAAATGCATCCTTATGTTATTATTTTAAACGCAATGAAGAAAGGGTAAGAGTTTGCAAGCAGATGTCCTTGAATACTCACTGCGTCAAAGAAAACATGATTCTAGATTGGTTGAAGAAGGAAAAGGTACAAAATAAGGAAAAAGAAGACAATAATTTCTGCAATAATGATATTCCAAACTTTAAAAACGACGAAGTTGTACAATCAAAGCGCTATAAAGACATGAAGCACAACCTTAGATGTTTTTTTACAGAACTGGCGAAGGTCGAGTCACATTACTGTCGGGCTTCATCGACAAAGTTGTACTTGGAACCAAATTGGCAATCCAAGTTTTCACTTTACAAATTTTACAAGAATTGGTGTCTACAACAGAATAAGTCTCATTTGTCCATTGCGTCATTCTGTCACGTATTTGATGAAATGAATCTGTCACTTTTTCGACCGAAGAAGGATGAATGCGATAAGTGTGTGGAATATAGAGCAGGAAATTTGTCAGAGGAACTATTTCAATTACATCAACAGAAAAAAGAAGAAGCAAGAACAGAAAAAGATAGGGACAAAAAATCTCAAAATAAAGTTTATTGCATGGATTTACAGTCCGTTTTGTTGGCACCAAAATCGAACGTCTCGTCTCTTTATTTTAAGACTAAACTTATTGTCCACAATTTTACATTCTTCGATTTGAAATCTAAAGATGGATACTGCTATATATGGCACGAATCCGCTGGTGGCGTTTCCTCTAATGACTATGCTTCAATTATTTGCCATTTTATAAAGGAACATGGTCAACAAGATCTACAACCGGAGCAAAGTATTACAATAATAAGTGATGGATGTACATCACAGAATAGAAATTCAACTTTATCAAATGCCTTAATCAACTTATCAGCCACTTTAGATATTACTATAGAACAAAAATATCTCGAGAAGGGCCATACACAAATGGAGGCGGACTCGATGCACTCGACTATAGAGAGAAAAATCCGTCACACAAACATAAATGTACCAGCTGACTATGTTAGATTATGTATGCAAGCACGAGAAAAGCCTAAGCCCTATAAAGTATACTACTTGGCACACGGCTTTTTCAAAGATTTCCGAAAGCCACAATTTTTAACCTCTCTTCGCCCTGGAAAAAAAGTTGGAGACCCTGTAGTAACCGATATTCGTGCGTTAAAGTACACCCCTGATAGCTCCGTATTTTATAAGCTGAGACATACACACGACTATGTTGAGCTCCAATACAGCCGCTCAACTAAAGAGAAAAGAAAGGCACAAGTCTGTAAATTGGAAGATTATCCGGCATTGTATGAGAACCCTATTCCAATAAAGGAGGAAAAATATCTCCACCTCCAGGCGCTCAAACGAAGTCTTGAAATTGACTATCACAGCTTCTACGACAATTTACCTCACAAGAAGTAATTGATTTTCATTTGATACTTTGTGCATATTTACTTTGTAAACAGCAGATCTTAAAAATATTATATAAGTCAAAAAATGATTATTCAATCATTAACAACAACTATACAAAAATATTTCAAGTTTTTCTCACCAACAATTTTCTGTACATATACCCTCTGTAATTTTCTAAGGTGTTTTTTGTGTGTACTGAAAAAAGTCGTTTTTGTGACATACGGGTTTTTCTGATTAAGCCGACGATATGAACTACATCTATTCCGCGGCCTACTCGTATTTATTCCACATTTTCAAGACTGAATAACGGTTTTCCCTATTTATCTCATTTTTTTTGTTATCAAACACTGATAATTATGTATTTTTCTAATTAAAAGAAATATGGAATTTATTGGTGCAAAAAATATATTATACTATTTGAAAAAACAAACTTGGTGTATCTTGAAAAGTATGCAGGCTATGGAAAATATAGAAAATTGACATCGTCGATCGAACACGATCAATTTGGAACACATCTGTTTTCATTGTACCTACCAAGTTTGCGAATGGAGGGGGGGTATGAGGGCGCAATTTGGTTGGGCCGCCCCGGGCACCAGCGCCAGCTACTCCGCCACTAGGGGGAGGGGGGGGGCTTGTTAGAATACGTTTAATTTACAAACCTATAGCTAGAAGTTTATTATTTAGTGAATATCAAAGTATGTGAAAAAAAAGAGATGTAAGTTTTTTGTCTGTCATTGTGTCAGGCATTTTTGTAATTTATTTGAATGTTCCTGTTGTATTAATATAAATGTTATTGTCGGTCATCGGAGTTGCTTCTTCACTGTTTTCCACATTAAATCTAACAGTGCTCATTCCGTGACCGAGTACTACAACATTTTTTATTACAACAACACTGTCTAGTTTAAGACATACATTGTCTTTCGACGTATGGAGGTATTTATTTTGTCGCCGTTAATAAATTCCCGATGTTGTAAATGTCAAAATAACCCTTATCATTAGGGTTTTAACAGCAAACAGTAACTTGAATTAATTGTCTTTAACTTTTTTACCGGTAGCCGTTTTGTTCATAATGTTATGAGCACCTCATATCAAATTAGATGCACAACTTTGATTAATAAACTGGTTTTTTACATAACTTGCCACTACAAATTTGGCGCAACGAAACGTTTTGCAGCTTGGACTCCAACGCTTTCGTAGTTACAATTTATTTCAGCCCGATATATGGTGGCCTGCCATGCGCAGGGCAACCTACCGGCAGCAACTAGGAAAGGTCCAGAGACTCGCCTGTCCGAGAGCCACTGGAGCCCTGAAAACCACGCAAAACTTTGGACATAGAAGCACTTCTAGAACTAGAGCCTTTAGACTTCGCTGTGGAGGCAGAGGTTCGGAAGGCTCCCATACGGCTAAACGATTGGGACGAGTGGAAGGATCGAGACAGCCTCGGGCCCGGGCGGATCTGGGGGGAAACCCTTAGTTTCGATCCCCTCCTCGCAAAGTCCCCTATAAAATCGTTCTCCCGGGCAAGGAGTGGCTGAACTCGGATTGCCTGGTCCTAAAAACCTGAGGGGCTCGTATGGTTTACAGACTGGTACCTAACAGAAAGAACAGCGAAAGCTTTCAACCAAGTCTCGGTGGACGATGAGGCGAAAAAGTACATGGCAATCAATACGCATCTGGGACTTCTTCAAGTTAATCGCCTACAACCGGGGATCAACACAGCACCGGGTCGGTTCCAGGAGTTCATGGATCGCATACTGGGCGAAACGGGTGGAGCAGCTTTCTTGGATGACGTAATCGTCCCCGGAAAAGGAAAGGAGGATCATGATGTCCGCCTCATGACAGTGCTTGAACGACTCAAAGAGGCTGACCTTGGCAAGTGTATATTCGGGAAACCGTCAATATGCTTCCTTGGAAAAATTATTGATGCCAAAGGCAGCCACACGTCAACGATCGTCCATATCGTACCACACCAGGAAAATTACCTGAAAAATACAAAGACTTCGTGATGGCAGTTCTGGCCAAGCACGCATCACCTGATTAACCTGGACACTTCCTCTTAGCGGAGAGCAGTGACGTAAACACACACCTAATACGAGGCGGTTCTGATTTTGGGTGACAGTTCTGATTTATATCAAAGTTTAAAACACGCATTTTTCGTTTCTGAAATAATAAAGTATTCTAAACTATCATTACTCTTGACTTGTTCCACGAATACTTCAACTAAACTCCATAAATTTCGTCCATTCAAAATGAAAATATTGCAAGTGTTAACCGAAGATAACTGCAGGTATTGGAGCAATGAAAATCATCATGCTCTTGTAGAAGGGCGTACCCATTTTAGGAAACAAAGTGATAAGGCCATTGTTTTTTTTTTGGAAATTTGAATGGAGTAATTTATTTTGATATGTTGGAAAATACCATCGATCGGCTTATCATTGAAGCCATTGAAAACCAAACCGAAGAGGATGGAAACCTTATACTTGATTAGGATGAAATATATTTCCAGCAAGACAGCGCTAGACGAAGAGTTTCCACATAATGGATAGGGCGAAGAGGGAGTATAGAATGGCCTGCTAGATCTCTTGATTTGACGCCATTCGACTTTTTTCTATGGGGCCATTTGAAATCTACTGTGTTTACTCCCCATCCTGAAAGTTTGGATGAACTTCATCAATGCACCATCGAAGGCTGCCATGATATCCATGTTTTTGAAAATGGCGGTCACGAATTTGAGCATCGCCTATATCATTGTTTGGCCAATAACGGGCAACATTTTGAACACTTATTGAAATAAAAAGTGATATTTTCGTTTGTTTTTGTTTTTTATCTGAACAAATTAATATACATAAAGATTTTTCTAATCGACCGATTTAAAAAAATCAAAGGTTCGGCTAAGAATTAATACGCGATCGAAAAAAGTAACGATCGACCGGCATAGATTCACTTCGAAGGTTTCAGTAAGAATGTCGCTCTCCCACCTGATTTTTACTAAAACATGCTGGCAGATCCCAAACACGAAACGAAAACGACCCCTTTTTCTTACCGCAACTTTTGTGGAAAGCGTGCCCTCTTTCAGGTCTATGAGATCGTGGCAACACTGTGACGTTTCGACTCCTAACTACTTGAGTACTTGTTTCTTATCTCAACTTCCTTGAAGCCGTACACGTATACAATTTCATATACCAGCAAATTATCTTTAAAGCCTAAAACATCTGTCCCGCTAGGTCATTTTAATAAAGTCACTCCAAAAACAAATATCATGAAACTCTTAAAATCCAGGATCGTAATTTGGGCTCAAACCGAGGGGTGAACCGCCGGTGGAAGTAGGTGTACACCCAAGTGGAATTATATTGGAAGTAGGTGGAAGTGTAAAGGAAGTAGGTGGAGGTAGATGGAAGTAGATGGAAGTAGGTGGAAGTAGATGGAAGTAGGTGGAAGTTTGTTGGAAGTAGATGGAAGTTTTTGTGAACGTTAGATTCAACGTGTCATGCGCAAAGGCTTTTACAAGCGTTAAACGGGTGGAAGGAGTAGGAGATGAACACGTTTTGTATTTGTGATTTGTGTATTGTGTTGTCGTTGTGCTTTCGGAACCTAACCAAAGACGGATTTATTTTAACTTCATATTAATAACTACGGCAGGTGAGTTATTGTAATTAGACTAGAATCCGCAACGATACGTATTTGGTGATTTCATTATCTCGTTACCAACATTCGTGGAATTTTTTTATCTTATGGCGCGTCTTATGATTTGTTGTGCAGTGCAGTTAACCATAGCAGCGCGACATTACACGAACCTCCTCTTTTAACAGTAAACATCGCTACTCGCCATCTAAATATAGAAATTATAGAATTTTTTTTCCAATTTCTCAACATCATTTGGCATTTAATACGCTATCCATGATAATTGATAAGATTTCATTTAGGATCTAACGTCTTGTGTATTGTATTGTTATAGTAATTTTGGGAAAATGGCCGAAGAAGTTTCGAGTGGCGTCTCGGACGTAGACATTTTTACTGAAGCTTCACGGGCGCTTAAAATAAAAATACCTAACTGCGTAAGAAAAATGTTGACTGTAAATGATTACAACGACATAGGCTTATTGGCCGACATAAAGGACAAAAATTTGTCTGATATCGAAGCGTTTGCTCGGACTACATTGCATGAAATTATTGATGAATCCGAGTATGACCAATATTATGGCATTTTTAAAACTAAAGTAGACAAATTTCAATTTTTAAGCTCTCATCGCGATATAATTTTCAAACTGAAAGAGTATTGCAAGAGCAAACATCAGACAGTTCCCATAATCAATTCTACTAATACTACAAAACAAACTCTTCGACAAATTCAAACTCCATTTACACGAGTATTACAAAATTCTGGGGCGAATGAAATAAAATGTGCAGATACCAATCTTTCAGACGAGAATGTTCATATTTCAAAAACTTTGAAAGCGTGGCTGAAATGCAACCTTTCTGAATCTCAGCTTCATGCACACGAAGCAAAAATAAACGAATTAAAAGTTACATCAAAATTAGATTACGACAACAATTTAAAGGCATGTATTACATGTTTTACATGTGGAAAAGTCATAAATGTACAAAAAATTTCACGAAATCAAAACCAAAAACCAAGATGGGTGCTTGGAAATTTTCATAAACATATTTTAACTCATAAAGAGTTAACTACTACGGCCGAGACTACGCCAACAACTCCTGGTTGTAAAAATGTATCTAATTCTAACCAGCAGAATTGCTCAATGAAAAAAGCAACAGCATCATTGACAACGTATTTTAAACCTATACATAAGTCAACAGAGGTCACAATGGCAGCGTCCAGTTCAGGATATTCAACACCAAAAAAACTACAACAAAACAAAATTAACATTCTGCAAGATATTTCTGTCGGTGTTACTCTTCCCTCGTCATCTATAAAAGAAAAAATCATGGATGTTCTACACCAAAATTCAAATTGTGATGACTTAAATATCTCCGGCATAGAGTCACTAAACAAAAATAAAAATCGAGATAAGAGTACCGACTCGAACCAAAACGTTGCCATGATTTCGAAAGAGGTAGTTTCACAAACAAAAAATTGTGAAGATAATCAAATTGATCACAACAACATTCGAGACAAAACTACAAAATGGAGAACACCAAAATACCAAAGGAGTGAACGCAGAAGAAGAGCTCGTGAACAAATTATACCGAATCAACCATTAATTACTAATTATTATGCTGTTGTGGATGATGTCGTCAAGCTTATGCAAGAAAACGAAGCCCTAAAAAAGAAGTTACTAGAAAGCTGGTCGAGTCACTATCCGTCTTCAGTACCCTCGTCAGTATCAAACACAGAAATATTATTGAGGATTCTTATGGACACTTCCAAACAAAACTCCCAACGCCCTAAAAACCAAAACTCTTACAATACAACAGTTAAACAATTCGCAGTGTACATCTTTTTTATTGGAGGAAGATTGGTGTATGAGATGCTGCATGCAAATTTACAAAATACTCTCCCATCATTAACAACTTTATTTCGATTTATTAATAAAAGAACCAACAGGCCCCAGGAAGGATCTTTTCGTTTTAAAGAACTAAACACATTCTTGGAAGAGAGAAAGTTACCAAAGTATATTTGGATTGGAGAGGATGCCACAAGAATTACTGGCAAAATTGAATACGATTCAAAAACAAATAATCTAGTTGGATTTACGTTACCGCTTTATAATGGCATCCCTGAAGTCAATTCATTTGAGGCAAAGTCTGCCAAAGAAATATTTGATTATTTTTCGATAGAACAAACAGCCAATTACGCTTATGTTATAATGGCCCAGTCGCTAGCAGAAAATGTTCCATCGTTTTGTTTAAATATCTTTGGAACTAATAATAAATTCACAGCTGATGATATTTTACAAAGATGGAATGAAATGATAAAAATGGCGAGTACATTTGGAATAACAATTTTAGGATTTTCAGCAGATGGGGACAGTCGTCTACTAAAAGCCATGAAAATGAATACTCACCTACCCCCTATAAAAAATGATGAGGATGATTCTGATGTAGATAATTCGGAGTGGGAATCCGATAACAACGAGGATAACAATAATTATGGACATTCTTTTGCTAAAACCGAGGCTAAAACGAACGAGATCCAAGGAAAAAAAGTGTGGGATTGGTTTCAAATGGATTCGGCTTTTAAATATGAATGCTTTGTACAAGATACCGTTCATATAATAACCAAAATGAGAACAAGGTTGTTGAATTCGTCAATTATACTACCCTTAGGAAATTATGTTGCTTCTGCCGCACATCTCAAACTGTTAGTTCAAGATTACTCCAAAGACAAACATAAACTAACAATGTCTGATTTAAATGCTCAAGATAAAATGAACTTTGCGTCTGCCGAAAAAATGTGTTCTTCAGAAGTATTGCATCTTTTGGCAAATATTCCGGAGAGTAGAGGCACAGCAGCATTTTTAAAAATTATGAATTATATTATAGAGTCGTTTTTAGCTAAAGATACAGATGTAGAACGTCGAACTTATTGCATTTGGTACGCAGTATTCTTTCTTCGAATCTGGAAGTCATGGATAAGAAGAAAGAAGTCGCTCTACAACGAAAAAAACAACTATTTATCGTCAAACTGCTATATGTGCGTGGAATTAAACGCACATGCTTTAATAAAGCTACTAGAATTATTTATTATCAACAAAGACTTGAATAACAGCATGTTTCTACCATGGTTATACAGCAGCCAGATGTGTGAAAAAATATTTCGAGCCACGAGATCCCTCACTTCTACATATAGTACCGTTGTAAACTTTAGTATGCTGGATATCTTACATCGCTTAAACCGAATCGAAACTATTGACAACTTAACCCACGATCTAAGTGATACCGTTACTTCCCCAAGAGAAAAAAAACGAAAACTTATAAACCCAGATTCAAACCAATTTCTGGCAGTTACTTCTGAAAAAGATTTTAAAAATAAAATAGAAGTCAT